CTCTTGTATTGTATTTATCATCCAATATCAATAACATATTTTCTCCCGTGCCTTCTCACAGATAGAACTGATACACTTTTACTTTCCCGTCAAAATCTCATGTTATCAGTGAAACAGTTTAGTTTGAGAACATAAAACTTGAAGCATCATTTAATTAGTAGATATAACACCTACAAACTCTGAGTATTCAAAGGAAGGGTTTACATATTGCACTCTAACAGTTCCTTTTTACGAGGATGCTGGCACTCCAATAGTAAATTCTTTTTTTGGAAATGAAAAGAACAACATACACTACTAGGTTCCCATACAATAGTAATTAATATTCCAAAGTAAGCAACCCTCCATCATTAATAAAGTTTTGCTTTATGACGGCAGTCGACTATTCCACCGGGTACCTGTTACCTACAATGGTGTCGAGTTAACTCTGGCTACCAAGGCTTAAGTAGATCAAACGAAATCACCTAATGTTTTTTTATGGGACCTCATGGTTCTCCTCCAGCTTCATAGACCACTAGGTCATACCCTTGGGTCCCCATTCCCTTCTCTATCCCTTCAACAATTAATTAAGATGGTTCGAACATGTGAAGAGGAAAAGCACAGATGCCCCAGTTAGGAGATGTGAGAGGTTGACCTTGGTAGGTATGAGGAGAGGTAGAGGTAGAGGTAGGCCAAAGAAATATTGAGGAGAGGTGATTAGCCACGACATGGCACATCTTAAGCTTACGGAGAACATGATCCTTGATAGGAGGGTGTGGAGGTCGAGAATTAGGGTAGAAAGTTAGTAGGTAGTCAAGCATTTTACTTTTCGTTTCCCGTACTGGTAGTTTTAGTGTTAGTATAGTATCTTTTTATTATTAGATTGCTATTACTACCTACTCTTTGACTGCTATCTTTCGCTTGGGTTTTCGTAATATCTTGTTGTTGTTACTGCTTGTTGCCACTGCTTCTTTTCATCTTTTTTTAGCCCAAGGAGTCTATTGGAAATAGCCTTTCTGCTCTCCCAGGGTAGGGGTAAGGTCTGCGTACACACCACCTCCCCAGACCCCACTTGTGGGAATTCACTAGGTTTGTTATTGTTGTTGTATAATTAGTATTTCTAGCACCTAATAGTTGATAACTCATAACTGATAATTTTTAAGAAAATCTTATATAATTTAGTTATGACCGTAATCAATTCAGTATTAACAGCTATGTAATTAATTTAAATTAATGTCAATAACACTAAATAATTTGTTATTTTGATCACTTTAATGTCAGTTTTGTAGCATAAGGTCTTAGAAATATACAATTCCTATAAAATATAAGTTGTTTGTGATGAAATTATCATTGATCATCCTTTTTTTATTTATGCAGGTACATTTGGGAACGTTATAATAAACAAATAAGCAAACTTCTAGCCTCACAAGATTATTAATTGTTAAAGAGTTCACTATATTCACATTATTTGTGAATTCTTTATATGATGTGTTTTCATGCATTCTTGACAAACAAATGGTAATGGAAGGTCAAGTTTCATTAATCTGCAAAGAAAATTGAACAAAATTATCATCTATAAGGACAAGTGTACCTGTTAAAATTGCCTGATCAACACGTAAGTGATCACTCAAAATCTCAATCATTCTCATATCAGCTGGAATTTTACACCCAACTTCACATTTCATGGAAAGGTCAAAAAGAAAAGTTTAGTACAAAATAAAAAGAGAATGAGTATAACAATGTTATACAATTTTCCAGTTGATAAAGCTAAAAGACTTAACATACCACTCACTTCTACAATATCTCCAGGTACAAGGTCCGTTGCAGGTAATATGGAGAAACAACCTGACAGATCAATTTCACACGATATTTGAGCAGGATATGTTGAAAATGCTAATAGTCATACCAAGGACATAAAAAGGAAATGACTGAAAGTGATAAATAAAATCTTCCAAGGTTTTATTTAGCAGTAGGAAAGGAATTTCACAATTCCATGTCTCTATGTACTAGAGTGGATTCCAGGATGATGTATAGATTTCATATGGAGATCAATGGAGTTACAAAGCAAGGCAATATTACAACAACAACAATCCAGTAGGATCCCACTAGTGGGGCATGGGGAGGGTAGAGTGTACGCAGACCTTACCCCTACCCCGGAGGGGTAGAGAGGCTGTTTCCGGGAGACGCTCGGCTCAACAGAAGAGACAATAATATCAGAAAAGAACAAAAGAATAGATCAGTAACAACACACGAAACCAGAAAAATAATATCAGCATCGTAAGAGACAGCAAATAAGTGGAAGGGCAATAACACAATACTGTGCAAAATGAAAAAAATAGTGTTAAAACAACAAAAACCGCTAGCAGTCCTAGACACAACTCTATCAGACTAGCCGGTACAAAGAGGAAAACGCTCGACTACCCCCTAGCCTACAACCCTAATGCTCGACCTCCACACCTTCCTATCAAGAGCCAGGTCCTCGGAAATCTGAAGTCGCGTCATGTCTTGTCTGATCACCTCACTCCAATACTTCTTAGGCCGCCCTCTACCTCTTCTTGTACCTGCCAAAGCCAACCGCTCACACCTCCTAACCGAGGCATCTAGGTTTCTCCTCCGCACGTGCCCAAACCATCTAAGCCTCGCTTCCCGCATCTTGTCGTCCATGGGAGCAACGCCCACTCTCTCCCGAATATCTTCATTCCTAATCTTATCCAGCCTAGTGCGCCTGCACATCCATCTCAACATCCTCATTTCAGCTACTTTCATCTTCTGGATATATGAATTCTTGACTGACCAACACTCAGCCCCATACAACATGGCCGGTCAAACCACCGCTTTATAGAACTTACATTTAAGTTACGGTGACACATTCTTGTGACACAGGACTCCAGACGCTAACCGCCATTTCATCCACCCCACCCCCATACGGTGCGTGACATCCTCGTCGATCTCCCCATCTCCATGGATAATTGACCCTAGGTACTTGAAACTCTCTCTCTTGGGGATAACTTGTGAGTCGAGCCTCACTTCCACATCTGCTTCCCTGGTCACACCGCTGAACTTACACTCCAGATATTCTGTCTTAGTCCTACTCAACTTGAAACCTTTGAACTCCAGGGCCTGCCTCCATACCTCCAGTCTCATTAACGCCGCCTCGCGTCTCATCAATCAGAACTATATCATCAGCGAACAATATACACCATGGCACCTCCCCTTGAATATGGTGTATTAGGCCGTCCATCGCCAGGGAAAATAAGAACAGGCTGAGCGAAGATCCTTGGTGTAACCCCATAACCAACGGAAAAAGCTCAGAGTCACCTTCCACAGTCCTAACCCGAGTCTTAGCTCCATCATACATATCATTTATCGCTCTAATGTACGCTACCGGTACACCTTTCACCTCTAGGCATCTCGAAAGCACGTCCCTAGGGACCTTGTCATACGCCTTCTCTAGGTTAATAAACACCATGTGCAAATCCCTCTTCCTATCCCTGTACTGTTCCAACAACCTCCTGATAAGGTGGATAGCTACCGTAGTAACGGCCCAGCATGAACCCGAACTAGTTTTCTGATATCGACACCGCCCTCCCAAACTTTCATGGTATGACTTAGTAGCTTGATGCCCCTATAGTTGTTATAATTCTGGATATCACCTTTGTTCTTGTACAGCGGAACCATCGTACCCTATCTCCACTCATCTGGCATCCTCTTTGTCCTGAAATAACATTAAACACCCCAGTCAGCCACTCCAAGCCTGCTCTACCCACATACCTCCAAAATTCTACTGGAATCTTGTATGGTCCAGTCGCTTTGCCCCGACTCATCTTACGCATAGCTCCCACGACCTCCTCAACCTTAATATGCCTACAGTACCTAAAGTCTCGGTGACTCTCGAAGTGCCCCAATTCGCCTAGCACGATGTTACCGTCCCCCTCTTCATTCAGAAGTTTATGAAAGTACGCCTGCCATCTTTGCTTAATTTGGGTCTCTTCCATCAATACTCTACTTGCCTCGTCTTTGATGCACCTCACTTGATCCAGGTCATAAGCCTTCCTCTCTCTCGCTTTAGCCAGCCAAAATAACTTCTTATCCCNCCTTATATCTTACTCTATTCGCTCTCCTGCTCCTCGTCGGTGCTCTCCACTAACTTAAGGTACGCCGCTTTCTTTGCTTCCACTTTACCTTGGACCACGTCATTCCACCACCAGTTGCCTCGGTGCCCGCCATAGTAACCCTTCGAGACCCCTAACACCTCTCTCGCCGCCTCCCTTATACATTCCGCCCTCGCCGTCCACATAGCGCTAGCATTCCCACCACTCTTCCAGGCTACCATAGCCGTCAGCCCCAACTCCTGCGCATTATCCTTAGTCAAAACTCCCTACCTGATCCTCGGTTGATCCCGTACAAACCTCTCCTTCCTCTTTATCAAGATACCAAAATCCATCACCAAGAGCCTATGTTGAGTCGCGAGGTTCTCAATCGGGATCACCTTACAATCCTCGCACAACCCCCTATCACACCTCCTAAGGAGGAGATAATCAATCCGAGTCTTAGCCACCATACTCCGAAAAGTAATCGAATGCTCCTCCCTCTGCGGAAATAAGAGTTCACGATCACCAACTCAAAAGCGCTAGCGAAATCCAACAGTGAAGCACCTCCTCCGTTCCAATCCCCAAAGCCGAAGCCATCGTGCACCTTGCCATAGCCCCCAGCAGACGACCCAATATGACCATTGAAATCCCCTCCTATAAATAACTTCTCCGTAGGCAGAGTACGCCGCACTACCTCATCCAACCCCTCCTAGAAGCGCCTTTTAACCTCCTCGTCCAAGCCCGCTTGCGGCGTGTAAGCGCTAATGACATTCAGAGTGCTCCCTCCAACTACTAACTTTATCGCCATCAATCTGTCATTCATGCGCCTAACCTTAACATTGTCGTCATAGTAACATACAGCTTTTGTTGATTTTTATTTTTTCTTTTTTTGTTTTTTATTCTTTTTGGGCAAAGGCAATCTCACTTTTGCTCAGGACCTTCTAATCAACTTTGAGTCAGAACTTCTACCAATGACAGGCTGATTATCTAAATTTCTTTTTCAATTTCTCTAAAGATGAAAAATTATTTGAGCTTGCAGTCTAATCCTTGACATAAAATAATACAAAAGAGACTGTGAAAAGCTTTGGACAGCCTAAATAAGTTGTGCATTAGCACATCTATAAATTGTTACTCACAATAAAGTCAAAATGTGGATTTCACCTAATAAAAAGATACAGAATCACGAATGTTATAGGTAACAAAAATAAAGACACTGTGGCACATGTTTCAATATCAAAGATCATAATACCAAAATATGAAGCACAATAAGGATACAGGTAATCGAGCACCAACAACAACAACAAACCCATTGTAATTCCATAAATGGGGTCTGGGGAGGATAGTGTGTACGCAGACCTTACCCCTACCTTATAAAGGTAGAGAGGTTGTTTCCGATAGACCCTCGGCTCAAGGAACAGTGGAGATAAGATAAAGCAACCAAGTAGCAAACAATGATAACAACAATGTAATATGGTAACGAGCGCGAATGACACAACATGTAATAATAAAGAACCATGATAAGATAATACAAAAATAATCCTAGTACTACTGGTAAGCTTAGGAGGAACACACTACTATCAGTCAACCTACAACCCAAATCCTCGACTTCCACACGATAGGTAAGCTGAAGCAACGACATGTCCTGCCTAATTACCTCTCCCCAATATTTCTTCGGCCTACCCCTTCCCTTCCTCAGACCCGCCATGGACAAACCCTCACACCGCCTGACCGGAGCATCTATATCTCTCTTCTTCACATACCCAAACCATCTCAACCTCGATTCTCGCAACTTGTCCTTCACAGATGCCACTCCTACCTTGTCCCTAATAACTTCATTCCTAATCCTATCATTCCTGATATGCCCACACATCCATCTCAACATCGTCATTTCAACTACTTTCATCTTTTGGACGTGGGACTTCTTAACGAGCCAGCACTCAGCCCCATACAACATATTCGGTCTAACCACCACTCCGTAAAACTTGCCCTCAAGTCCAGGTGGCACATTCTTATCACACAAAACCCTCGAGGCTAGCCTCCATCTCATCCACCCCGCTCCAATACGATGAGTAACATCCTCGTCGATCTCCCCGTTGCCTTGAATAATAGACCCAAGATACTTGAAACTACCCCTTTTGGGGATGACTTGAGTACCAATCTTCACTTCCAGTTATTTTATGCGATTGAATTTTGTCTTACATAAATGCAGCTTACACCCATTAAGAATAAAATATGTAAGCCAAAAGAAAGAGACACAATGAACAGGATCAGAATCAGATTAGAGGCTTAAAGGAACATCCATAAGCACTAGTAACAAAAAAATAACTTTCACCAGTTGATAAGAGGATTCAACACTCGGAGAAGGTCAAATTACCATTGCGCAGGACAGTGGCAATGTCAGCTTGGTATGCACGTAATTCCTGCAATTAGGAAACAACTTGTGAGTTAAACATTTCAAGAGCAAACGATGGACAAGACAAAACATAACAACTACAAAAAACTGATACATTTTATGAAAATCATAATTTTCCTCCATGTAAGCATAGATAGTCAAAATGCCAAACACTAATGATCAAGGGACAAAGTGATACCATGACAGTTTAAAAAATGACTAGATTAGTTTGCACCTTATCTTTTTCTTTTTGTTAATTAGGAATATCTAGTTCGTACATCGATATCATATATCATAGCATATTTATGTAGCTCAATCAAAATAACAATGAGCACAACCAAAAACCATTTAGCATGTAATTTCTCCATTTTGGGATAGTTCGTAAAACAAAAGTTGCTAGTATGACCATGAACGGTGGATTTTTTGCTAAATGGAAAGAGGTTGTTACTGCCAGGGGTTAACGGGGAGAGAACAGAAATCAACAATTTAAAAGGTATACGCCAAGAATAGGTAGAAAGATGGATTAGAAACTTAGAGATTATAGCTCAATATTAACAGGTAAACGCTACCCAAATGGATAGTGTTAAATCAAAACTATAACTGTTTGAAATTTTCACAAAAAGAAGGTGAAGATCAGCAGCAGCAGAAATTTTGATAAGATCTAGACAAGAGAATAATGGTCAAGCGCTTTACCATAATGTGCCAAATCTATAACATCACATAAACGAAAAGTTTAACAACAACAACAACATTAAATAACATAAACCAAATCTATAACTTTTCGTTATACGGTGTGAAAAAAACTGTAACAATAAAAAGCATCCCAAACAACTTAGGAGTCGTTTGGTTGATTGTATGGGCATAAATAATCCCTGCGTAAACTAATACAGTGTTTGGTTGGCCGCTAACAAAACATAATCGAAGCATAACTCAATTAGCATTTTGCTGGCTGCATGAGAAAAAATAATCGCCACATACTTAATGCAGCATTTGGTTGGCTGTATTAAACAATACCCGCATTATGTTAGGCGGGAATCTATGTATTATTTTATGGGGGATAGGATGTAGAGTAAGATATGTGTATTAGTGACATGGGCGTTAAACTATCTAAAGGCGAAAATGCCCTTTAAAGCAATTAATTCCTGTGTAATTATCCCTTCATTATTTATCACCGCATAACAATCCCTTAACTATTAATCACCACATAAACACACTGCTTTATAATCCTGCATAACTAGTATGTGAACCAAACGACCTTTTACTGTCTACAGAAGCTAAAACAAAAACAAGGTACTAGTTATTCTATAGATCTTAAGAGAATACAAACCATAAAGATTTAATGCACAATTTGCTATATTATTCTTGTGAAAGAATCTGAGCATCCAACCAAAAACCTTATGGCAATGGGTGGAGTAGCCCAGGACTATTTAAACTCCTTTGGAAACCCTTGCATAACCAATGAGGGACAAGCGTAGTATTCTCGGACACCCTCCCGCATGTCGGCATGTGTCACCCAATTCTAGGGTTTACACGTGGATTTGAATTTTTTTTTACTTTATCTCTTTTGAAGCAGAGAGAGAAGAAGCTCAACAAGAGTGGTCCTAGAGTAGGAGACATATTAGACTCAACAAAGGGGGCTTGGAGCAATGTCAGTGGTTTGACGAGCTGATTTGGGAGAGAGAGAAGTCAAGAGCAACTTCATGGGTTAGGTTGAGAGAGAAGCGCAAAGCGATAGAACATGAGCGAAGGAAGTAGTTGTACAAACAGGCTCACCAAAGTTTGGCTCTGATACCATGTGAAAGAATCTGATCATTCAACCCAAAACCTTAATGTAATGGGTAGAATATCCCAGGATTATTTAAACCCCTTCGGAAACCTTACACAACCGATCAAGGACAAGTGAAGCATTCGCTATCAATTCCCATAAACAATTTATCACTGGAACAAAGTCATGACAAGGAAAATACTACAGTACACACATCAAATTGTGTACCAAGGACCAGTAGGATCGCGTTTGGATGAGACATGACAATTTGTAGTAACATGAGGATGTGATGCTTATCCTGTCTTATATAATAAGAATTGAAATTACTGACGCGGGAAATGAAATAAGATGTTCCTTTTTTTGATAAGGTAAATAATTTTATTAACAATTGGGGGAAACCAAATGAAGAGAACCTACACCAAAATATGGTTCTCAAGAAAAGAGGCCCAATCCTCTCTACAAATGAAATAAGATGTTAAGCACATGGAACGACTAGTTTCTAAATTAACTTGATGCATCCTCTCTTGTGAAAAATGATCTGGAAAAGAAAAGAAGACAAAAGGACGGAATATACAAGAAAGAGCACACATGTGATCAAGAGGATAGAGAATTCAACCTAGTAAAAGGAGACCGAAATCAAAAGAATAACTTAAAGGAGTAGGATGCTAACACAGCAATGTAACTACTTTTACACTAAACTGGATATCTCACCTCAAGAGCCTTTTCTGCATTTGTTTCTGTAATCACACCGACCGCTGCATTTGCAGCCAATATCATCAAGATAACCTATAAACATAACTTGTGATTATGGTAAAAGGAAGATTACTGCAAAAATGAAACGAATTTTGTTCTTCAAAATTACCCCCAAAAGACTTTTCTACGCACTTTGTAACACACTTTCTTTAGATTAATCGATATCACACGGAGAACATGTTCGCTGTAACATATTGAATTATTACTTCTGAGCTATTTTTGCCACGTAGTATCTTCCTATTCATACTTTTTCCTTGCTACTATTAGATAATCAAAAAATGATGCTATTCATACTATAAGCAAAAAGTACATCATGTGCTAAAATCATGAAGCAAACAAGGATGAAAAAGTATACATTAAAATGTTCATAAGTAGCTTAAGTTTGATGAAAAAGTATACATTAAAATGTTCATAAGTAGCTTAAGTTTGATGAAAAAGTATACATTAAAATGTTCATAAGTAGCTTAAGTTTGATGAAAAAGTATACATTAAAATGTTCATAAGTAGCTTAAGTTTGATGAAAAAGTATACATTAAAATGTTCATAAGTAGCTTAAATTTGGTAACATCGTTTCATTCTACTATCAGTATGACACACTATTGTTAGTTTATTCATTAGACATTTATGTTTGGTGGAAGAAAAATTCCACCAAATTGTACTCCTGCTCCGTGCCCTAATGGTAGTAAGAAAGAGAAGTCAAGCTAGCTTACAGAAGGTTCAATGAAGGCTGATAAGACCGTCTCTCCATTAGCCAGTGCCAAAGAAAAGGAAATAAAAGCAGCTGCAATTAGAATTTTAACCAGCAAATCATCAAATTGCTTCAGCACCAACTTCCAGAAAGGAGTGCCTGCAATAAATGATAATACATAGACAGAACTAAGCCACAATGTAGCAATTATTACTTATCAGAAGAAAATTTTCTTCATTAATAAGCACAATGCCTGAACTTTATTCAACTCAATTGAATTGTTGAAACCAGCAGTAGCTTCGGTTCATTCAATATGTCATGATGTGGGTCATGAAACACCTGAATCTGGCTGATACTCTATTACATACTCAATGAATAATATTCATAGAACACTGCAAACTCCCCCATTGCTGAAAGGAATGGAGATTGTTGAAGATACAATTAAGTAATTAAAAATGTGCTCTCTTAACAGCTTAACCTTCTAGATGCGATAGTCACACACTTCAGCCTGGTAGCAGAACAGGCAGAGGTCCTGTGTTCGAATCTCACTCCCATCCATTATTACGAAGAATTTTTTTGTGCTTGGCTCATATAAATATAAAAGAATCAAACCCGTACGTGAGGGGGCGTGCTGAAGATATAATAGAGTAATAAAAAGCGTAAGCTTTTAGTTAGTCACACAATTCAACAAAGATAATGTTGTAGGATACGGGATTAGGAATCAGTAATATCACAAAGAAGGACAGGATATGGAGTTTCACTTTTGTGAAGTGGAGAGACCAGTGCGATCTAGAAGCCCCTAGCCCTGATAGATTCAGATTGGTGTTTGTATTTTACATAAATGCTGGAACATTGAGAGATGTTTCAGACACAATATAAGGAGAAGAAATTTTGAAAGAAGTTTAAGTGCTTTTATTTCTCTGATCCCAAAGAAAAGTGGAGCTTTGGAACTAAAGGTCTTTAAACCAATAAGCTTGACAGTATTAATAAGAGACTGCAAAGGTCTTTCCAGCATCCACTTTGCAGATGACACATTGTTTTCACGTGAAGACAAGGATGATCAGTTAAACAATATTAGAGTAGTCTTATTGGCCTTTGAAGTAGCCTGCAAATTGCATGTCGATTTCGAAAAGGGTAGCTTTTCCTCTATGAGGAACATCACAAATATTCAACAGCTCGCATGGATACCAGGATTTAAGATTGGTACATCACCAACATCAGGCATACCATTAGGAGCAAAACATAAAAGCAAAGTGTATGGTGTAGAGTGGTAAAAAATCTGAAAGAATCTTAACTACCCAAAGGATGCATTACCTAGACAGGCTGACTTAGATAAACAGGCAGTTGAGTACCATTCTGGACCACTGCCTACTTCACTCACAATTTCAGCAAAACGGGAGAAAAGATTAGACAAAATCAGAAGGGGCATCTTCTTGAATAGAAAGAAAAGAAAAAGGGAAAATTCTTGTAAGGTGGAAAAAGCACTGTGACTGCCATAGGAAGGGAGATGAGCATCAGACACTTAAAACACCACGATACGAAGTTGTCTCGGGAAGTGGGCATGGGGATTTTGCTATGGCAAACGAAAAGCTGAATTCAGACCAAATTATCAGAATGGAAGGAAATGGACCCCTAGCCAATATGGCAATAACCACATTTTGAGGAGTGAGCCTATGGAGATGGATCAACAAAGAATGGGAGAAAAGAATTGTTAATGCAATTGCAAAGGATGGGAGAAATCTTCCAGAATACAGATTGATAGTAGGGGTTGCGATAGAGTCAGATTTTGATCTGATGTTAGAATTTCGGACACTTTCACTCAGGAGAGATTTCTAGATCTATACAGATTTCCAGAGAATCCTGAGGGCCTGATAGCTCAGAATTATAAAAATGGTAGCGACATTAAGTTCAGAGGAAAATGTAATGATTAGAACTGGAGCAGATCAATAAAATGCTTACTTTACTGCAAATCATTCTGCATTCTATCAGCACCAAAATGAAAGAAGTTTAAGAAAATTAAACCTTTATGCATAGCATGGATAACAAGGAAAGAGGGGAATAGAAGGTGTTTTGAACAGCAGGTCCGCTCTGTTCTCTTGAGATATTCTTTTGAAATGGGTTCTCTTGAGATTTAATCATGAAAGCATCAACTTGGTGACCTACAAAATGTGAATATCTACTTTGTCCACAAAGAAAATGAAGTTTTGCTATTGATTTTGGAACCAAACACTTGTTTGCCATTTATCAGGAAATACACTTACAGCATAACAGTGACATTGATTAACCTGGTCATTTATTTATGACCAATTTGGCTTAAGCCTGTGGATCAGCTCTATAATTGTGTTGAGTAATTAAGAATACCGTTAATTAGAAAAATTTTCTTATCACCTGTACTGTAAGCTCCTCCAGAAAAAGCTCTCTTGTAGTACCATATCAATGCAACAAGAGCTTTCTCTGTTTGTCTTCTCTATTCACGAATGCTACTTGTTCATCAAAAGTCTAGATTTTTATTAAAAGTAATTAAATGAAACACAGAAATAAAATCTCCATAAGTAAACAGAAGTTAGCTTATTGACTATGCATGTTTATCTTTTACCCTATTTTAGATGCCACCTAATTGTATGTATCTGAGAAAGAAGGAGAGAGAGGAAGACGAAAGAACTTACTTTTTTCTTGAGGCAGCACTGAGAACATTCATGGAACATGCAACCAAAGAGAAAATTGATATCAGAGAAGACAAAAATCAAGGAACTGACAAGCATATATATAGTAATATGAAACAATCCCATGCACAATTATCAAAATTATAACTTATTAAACAAATTCCGCTTATCATTTGTGTTGAAGGGAAAACTTATCACCATAGATACTAATTAGAAAGAGAAAAAAACATTTCTTATTGTGTCAGAGACAAAGAAAAGAAAATTGAGTGACACTTTAGGGGTATCGCAATGGCCTCTCCTGAAATAAACATTGTCTCACCCTGCCCATTAGAACATTACTGTATTCATGACATCCCATCCAGAATCATAAGGCAGTGCAAAACATGCCCTCACTGTCTCAAAGAATGATAATAATATGCACCCAAGGATATGGCTTGATGGTCAATGAAGTGGACGAAAAATCATAGAAAACCAAGGTTCAAATCTTATTATGCTATGCGATTTCTTCCATCTACCTAAGCCTTGGTGAGCAGTGTTGAGTTGTTTCACATCGGTGGGACCTGGAATTTGGTCCCCTTATATGATCTTGGGCAATCTTCACCTCATGAGCTAGCTTTTTGGGTCAAGTTAAACTCAAGGTCCTTACATGGTATCAAAGCTACACCCATCTTAATTATCCAATGTTGGGTCTCCACACTATGTTGTCTGCGCTCCAATTGGCAGGCCCAGGAATGCGTGGGGAGGGGTATAGAGTTGTCCCACATAAGTGTGATGTGGAATATTTGGTCCCCTTATATGATCTTGGACAATCATAACCTCATGAGCTAGCTTTGGGGTTGAGTTAGGCCCAACGTCCTTTTTATTTACGGACAAAATTACCACATGCATGTTCTGGTAGAGGATAGCAGGTACCCGGTGGGAATCGAGGCGAACTAGCCAGACACCACTGTTAGTTAAGAAAAAAGAACATTAAGGGTGTGTTTGGTTTCCAATTTTCCCATGTTTGGTTGGTTTAAATATTTTGGAAAATAATTTCCTTATGAACTCATTTTTCCTCCAATTAGAGGAAAATGTTTTACTTATCAAGAGAAGGGAAAACATTTTCCAAAACTCCTTCTCAACCTTCCCCAATCTATTCCCCACCCTCACCAACCCACCCCACACCCACCAACCTAACCCCACCCACCCCCTCTCTCAGAAAAGGCTTTTATTTCTTCAAATTTCAGTTTTTTCTTTCCGTCACCACCCACCCTACTTCCCCCCCGCAAATTTGTAATTTCAAATTTCTATTTTTTCATTTTTCTGCACCACCCACCCCCGCACAAAAAAAGTTTTTTTTTGTAATTTTCAAATTTCTTTTTTTTCTTTTTTCTGCACCACACACCACTGCCCCCCACCCCACCCCGCACAAAAAAATAATAATTTTTTTTTTACTATTTTTTTTGTAATATCAAATTTCTGTTTTTTCGTTTTTCTGCAAAAAAATATATATATATTTTTAGTTTTAGTTTTTTTCATCTTTCGGTTTACAGGTTAGAAATTTTACAAGTTATAAAGTTATGAGTTCAGAGGTTTATGTGTTTGGAAGTTTACGGGTTTAGAAATTATAAAGTTTGTGGGTTCGAAATTTCGCGGTTTCGAAAGTTTAGCGGTTCGGAAGTTTATGAAATTTGTGGGTTCGGAATATTGTTGGTTCGAAAGTTTATGGCTTCATGTTTATTGTACCTAAATTATTTATGAATACTCTTGAGAAGTTATTTTCCTTAATTTGCGTACCAAACACCGGAAAATGAATAAGATTACTACTTGTTTTCCAAAAAAATATTTTCTTGGAAAACATTTTCCGTTATACCAAACACACCCTAACACTATAACATTTTGTGGCCTCATAACTCTTGGATCCAAACACTTCACTTTATTCTCCACATCCTATACCCGTTATAACACCCAAATTGAACTAGCTGCATAATCAGCTCATCAATTGTTTTCCATCATTAGCCAAAAATTACAATGCAGTTTAGAAATGATAGCTACCTAAGCATCATAATTACATTCGGAACCTAAATCTCTTGGATGTAGTATGAACTTATAAACACTAGCACTAATCTTGTTAAATTTACTAAACTAGAAGATTCTAATTCTAGGAACCTTTTTTCCTTCTCAAAAAGACCTGGCTAAGGAATCTCTACAGATTCTATGAATTTACATCAAAAGAATGCCCACAAACCTAAGACCAACTCCCACTAGCACAATGTATGCTATAATTAAAGCGTGCACATGCCTATAATGTTCCGCTTACTGAATGTAAGGGGCACAAAGGAGTCAAATTGCACATATTTTGGTCCTGAGTTCGTTCCTGTGAACTCATACTTCACAAAAACAATAGTTTTACAAGATGGAAATAACGCGTGCAGCATAGCCAATTAAGTATGTGATAAAATAGGACACAACAGAGTACTGTAACTTATATTTGTTTACACTATACAAGATCCTGATCCCAGAAATATTCCCGAATATGCAGGCATAGCAAATGAGAACTAAATGGAAGAGAATGATTACCATTTTTGCCGTATAATCTGGCGTGTTGTGTAACCTGGGAAACAAAAGAAAAAGAATTAGATCACAACCCAAAAAAACTCATTTCCTAACCACGGCCGAAGAAAGACAAAGATACATGTATGCTTACAACAACAACAACAACATACCCAGTATAATCCCACATAGTGGGGTCTGGGGAGGGTAGTGTGTACGCAGACCTTACCCCTACCTTTGTAGAGGTAGAGAGGTTACTTCCAATAGACCCTCAGCTCAGGCAAGCATAGGTACCACAATAATAACAAGAAACAAGACGGGACAACACCGAAAAACCATGTAAAAGCAGGATACACAACAAGATAATGTAATTAAAAAAAAAAATTAAAAAATCAAATAAGCCTACTACCAACCAAATGCGAGAGTACGTACTAACACTACCGCTATCAATAATCTAGACTACCTAACCTACTATACTAATCTTCGACCTTCACACCTTCCTATCATGGGTCATGTCCTCGGTCAGTTGTAGTTGCGCCATGTCATGCCTAATCACCTCACCCCAACTCTTCTTCGGCCTATCTCTACCTCTCCTAAGGCCCTCCAATGCCAACCTCTCACACCTCCTTACCGGAGCGTCTGTGCTTCTCCTCCTCACATGTCCAAACCATCTAAGCCGTGCTTCCCACATCTTGTCCTCAATAGGGGTCACGCCCACCTTGCCCCGAATAACTTCATTCTGATCCTATCTAATCTGGTGTGCCCGCACATCCATCTCAACATCCTCATCTCTGCTACCTTCATCTTCTGGACGTGAGAGCTCTTGACTGGCCAACACCCAGCCTCATACAACATAGCCGGTCTGACCACCGCTCTATAAAACATACCTTTAAGTTTTGGTAGTACCTTCTTGTCAGTGTTTTGAATAGCGTGAGGCGACAAAAAGCGATGAGGACCCGCTTCACTGAGGCGAAAAGCGAGAAGCGTAGCGCTCGCCTTTTTTATGTGAAGCGAAATAAAATGTTAAATTTGCATATATAAATAACTAAAAACTCAATAACAACAGCATATTAATAAATATATAAATTCAAAAACTCAATAGATAGAAATCAAATATTTTAATATACGGTTTATAGAGAGAAATTAATTGTAATTAAAGAGAGAAAATAACAGTTAATTGTAATTGTAATTATAGAGAGAAGTTAATATGCAAGTAATTGTTTACTAAACTGGAAAAAGTAAATCAAAAGAGAGAAACAGAAGAAGAAAGAAGGGCAGAAGCAAAAACAAAGGTGAAAGAAAAGAAAGAAAGAATATTTCTGCTGGAAATCAGTTGTTGCCGGAAAGAAGAAGAACAAAAAAGACTTAATACCTGAAAAAGAAAAAGAAAAGAAAGTAGAAAGAAGAGAGGCTTACTACCGGAAAAGACGCCGGAAAAACAGAGGCATACTGCCGAAAAAAGAAAGAAGAGAAGCTTACTGCCGGAAAAAGAAAGAGAAAAGAAAGAAGAAGAAAAGAAGAAAGAAAGAAGAAAGAAGAAGAAAGAGGTACCTGGGAGTCGAGAAAACCCTAACTTTTATTTAAGTCTCTTCTTTTTTTTAAAAAGCGACGCCTCTGTCACCTTGTCGGCGCTACTTCGCCTCGTCGGTGCTTTTTAAAAACGCATCGCAACAGGCCAAAAAAAGCGTCTGAGCCTCGCTTCGCGTCGCTACTCGCAATTAGCGACGTAGCGAGCGCTATTTACAACACTGGTCGCACAAAACACCGGACGCAAGTCTCCATTTCATCCATCCCGCCCCAATACGATGTGTGACATCTTCATCAATCTCCTCATCCCTGTATAATAGACCCAAAGTACTTAAAACTAGGGATGGGCATTCGGTACTTCGGTTCGATATTTAAGAATTTCGGTTCGGTATTTCGGTATTCGGTTTATCAATTGTGTATACCAAATACCGTACCAAAATATTTCGGTACGGTTCGGTATTTCTTATTTTGCTTCGGTACGGTTTCGGTTTAAACCAAATCTTCACTATCTCCCCCACTCCATTAACTAATGTAATCCATGTTGATCGTAGCTTTTTCAAATAAATTGTCATGCTATGTTATGAGGCTTCTGCCTATTCAAATCTGTAGTTCTTTGGGTTGAAAAGATACGTTTCAACTTTTAAAACCAATGCAGCTAGTATTATTTACTAGCATTTGACTAAAAATGGAGGCAATGCAAGGGAAGCATCTTATAATACCATTTGCTAATACAAGAGAAAAAGTTGCACCAAGTATTACAACTTACACGTAAAAAGCAACATCTCCTTTGATGCCTCGAGTATAAAGCCATACTTTATCCTAAAGCAAAAAGAAGGATAGTTGAACAATCCATTCAAGCTCAATGCCGAAGATAGTTGCTCTCTGTACACTTTTCATCTCTGCTTCGAGATTTCTGGAAGTTCTTAATCTGCTTGGTGGAACTTTGCTAAAGCCTAAGGGTAAGGAATTAGGGAATTAGAGATTTTGGACTTTTGGGGTGTGGAATCATGGCAACATGCCAACAAGGTATGTCGTCATACTATATTACAAACTATTTCTAATGAACCGTTTGACGTGTATTGCAGTTATAAGGAAGCAAAAGCTATCTGGGAAGCCTTAATTAAAACATTCACTGCTGAAGATGCTACAAAACAAAAATTTGTAGCAGGAAAATTTTATCAATGGAAGATGAGAGATGATAAAGAGATGAACGTGCAAATCAACGAATATCAAAAATTGCTAGAAGACTTGAAGGCCGAGGGGATGTCTTTACCAGAAAAGTTTGTTGTTGGAGTGCTAATTGAGAAGCTGCCTGACTCATGGAATGACTACAAAAACAACTTAAAGCACAAACAGAAAAATTTCGCCATTAAGGAAATTGTGACCCACATCCTAATTGAAGATTCCAACAGAAAAGAGTCTGCCAAAGCTAGGATGACAGCTCTTAAAGCAAATTTAGTGCAAAGAAGCAACAACAACCGCAAAAGGTACGAGAATAAGTCTCAAGGTTACAAGCCTAAAAATCCTAACCTTAAAAGAAAAAAAGGCTCTTGTTTTGTTTGTGGAAAACCAGGCCATCATGCCTCACAGTGCAGGTACAGAGCAGGAAATGACAAAGGAAAAACTAATACTCCTAAGGCTAACTTAGCTGAAGGAAGTGATATTATTGCAGCTGTCATTTCTCAAGTAAACATTGTAGCACATGCAAAAGAATGGGTGGTAGACTCTGGGGCTACTCGGCATATTTGTACAAATCGAGAAGCATTTTCTTCTTATACTCCTATAGAGAATGATAGAGAAGAGGTCTACCTTGGAGACTCAAGTACTACCAAAGTCTTGGGTAAGGGTAAAGTTCTTCTGAAACTCACTTCGGGAAAAACTTTAGCCCTTGTTGATGTACTGCATATTCCTACTATGAGGGCAAACTTGATCTCTGTATCCTTATTGGGAAGAGCCTGAGTGAAAGTGTCATTTGCATCTGATAAGATTATAACGACCAAAAACAATGTGTTTGTGGGAAAGGGCTATTGTAACCAGGGACTCTTTGTACTTAATATTTTTGATGTTATCAATAGAAATGCATTTGCTTCTACTTATATGGTTAAGTCTATTTCTTTATGGCATGCAACATTAGGACATGTTAATTTCGCATATATAAGAAAAATACAGTCATTAGGTTTAATATCTGGTTTAGACTCAAACAATATTAATAAGTGTGAAATATGTGTTGAAGCTAAAAGTACTAAAAAGACTTGTTTTTCTGTAAATCGAGAAACTGAATTATTATCGTTGGTTCACATTGATTTAGGCGATTTAAAACAGACTACGACTAGAGGTGGTAAAATATATTATGTGACTTTTATTGATGATTTTTCTAGATATATTAAGTTGTATTTGCTTAGAAATAAAGATGATGTCTTTAATACTTTTATTTCTTATAAAACTGAGGTTGAAAATCAACTTAGTAGAAAAATCAAGAGAATTAGATCTGATAGAGGTAGAGAATATTTATCTTTAAATGGTTTTTGTGAAAAGAATGGAATTATTCATGAAGTAACTCCGCCTTCTTCACCTGAGTCAAATGGAGTAGCTATAAGGAAAAATAGAACATTGAAAGAGATGATGAACTCTATGTTAGTTAGTTCTAATGCTCATGATAATTTGTGGGGTGAAGTTATTTTATATGCATGTCACTTACAAAATAGAATACCACATAGAAGAACTGGCAAAACTCCGTATGAATTGTGGAAGGATTATAAACCTAACTTGAAATATTTAAAAGTGTGGGGGTGCCTTGCTAAAGTCCTTTTGCCTGAACCTACAAAGAGAAAAATAGGTTCTAAAACTGCTAATTGGATATGCTAATTGGATATGCTAAACATAGTGTTGCATATAGATTTCTTGTTTTAAAAAGTGATGTGCTTGATTGCAATACTATAATTGAGACAAAGAATATTGAGTTCTTTGAATATATTTATCCACTGTCTGATAAAATTTCTCATACACCTGTTGAAACAAATAATGAAATTACCTCTAACGAGGAATTGAGAAGGAGCAAAAGGCCTAGGAAGGAATATTTTTCTTATGGAAATGATTTTCAAACTTTTCTTGTTGATAATGAACCATCGAATTATTTTGAAGCTATATCTTGTTCTGATGCTGAATATTGGAAAGAGGCAATAAAAATTGAAATTGATTCTATTATGAAAAATAATACATGGATTTTAACGGATTTACCTCATGGTGCAAAACCTATTGGTTGTAAATGGATTTTCAAAAAGAAATTTAATCCTGATGGATCTTTAGATAAATATAAAGCTCGGTTAGTAGCAAAAGGATTTTCTCAAAAATAAAATATAGATTATTTTGATACATTTGCACCGGTGACTAGAATTTCTTCTATTCGAGTTTTAATTGCCTTAGCTTCAATTCATAAGCTTTTTATCCACCAAATGGATGTCAAAACTGCTTTTCTAAACGGTGATTTAGAAGAAAAAATTTATATGGTTCAACCTGAAGGCTGTGTCATTCCTGGACAAGAAAATAAAGTTTGTAAATTAATTAAAGTCTTTATGGCCTTAAACAAGCTCCTAAGCAGTGGTATGAGAAATTTGAACAAGTGTTACTGAGAGACAGTTTCTCTTCGGTGGAGGTGGATAAATGTGTTTATACTAAAGTGGTAGACAATGATTATGTGATAATATGTCTGTATGTTGATGACATGCTCATATTTGGTACAAGTTTAAATATTATGCAAAGTACTAAATTATTTTTGTCTGCTAATTTTGATATGAAAGATCTGGGTGAAGTAAATACAATATTGGGAGTTAAAGTTATAAGGAGTGAAGATGGAATAATGTTGTCACAAGAACATTATGTTGAGGGACTTCTGTGAGCACTCATTTTGATGCTAACTCTCAGTTGAAAAAGAATAATGGTGACCCAGTTGCTCAATCTAAATATGCTCAGATTATTGGGAGTCTGGTGCATTTAATGAATTTTACAAGGCCGGATATAGCCTATGTTGTGTGTAGACTGAGTAGATCATAATCCCAACAGAGAGCATTGGTCTGCACTAGTTAGACTAATAAAATATTTATGAGGAACCATGAATTATGGTATCCTATATAGTGGATTTCCTTCTACTTTAGAAGGGTACAGTGATGCAAACTGGATCTTTGATTCATATGAAACCAAATCCACTAGTGGCTATGTATTCTTGGTGGTGGTGCAATATCGTGAAAATCAACTAAATAGATGATCATAGCTAGATCGACTATGGAATCAGAGTTTGTAGCTCTGGAGTTAGCTGGTTCTGAGGCTGAGTGGCTAAGAAACTTCTTAGCTAATATCCCTTTAATAAAGGACGTATTGCCTCCAGTGTCTATGCATTGTGATTGTCAAACGGCAATAGCTATTGCAAAGAATAAATCTTATAATTGTAAAAGTAGACACATGAAGTTGAGACATGATGTCATAAAGCAGCTGCTGAGAGATGGAATAATTTCCATTGACTATGTGAAGTCAGAGATAAATTTGGCCGATCCTCTGACTAAACCTGTGGGACACATGAAATTGAGACATGATGTCATAAAGCAGCTGCTGAGAGATGGAATAATTTCCATTGACTATGTGAAGTCAGAGATAAATTTGGCCGATCCTCTGACTAAACCTGTGGGACACATGAAATTGAGACATGATGTCATAAAGCAGCTGCTGAGAGATGGAATAATTTCCATTGACTATGTGAAGTCCGAGATAAATTTGGCCGATCCTCTGACAAAACCTGTGGGAAGAAAATTAATTCTTCAAACCTCAAAAGAGATGGGGTTAAGGCTGACATCATGTCAATAGAGATGGTAACCCAACCTATATGATTGGAGATCCCATGAAGTAGGTTCATATGGGTAATAACAAGTTGATATTGACACTGAAGCACTAAGAGTGAGTGTTTGACCGCTACTAATTGAGAGGTTGAGTTATAACTCTTAATGAATTCATATTCCTTATGAATAGTGTATTTAAAAGCAGTATACACTTGATGAATTCACCTATATGAAAGTGGAGTGAGGCCGCTCCTATGAGATTTTGACCTAGTCTCTAGAGCTCTCATGAATAACCAAGAAAGCGCATGGCCTAGTGGCGCAAAACCGCATTGAACAGCAAAATCGTGAGGGTCAAAATGTGATTGATAAAATCTCTGACTTACAATAAGAATTATTGGTTCATACAAATATTACATTTCACCAGTAATTCTGTGAGTTAAATTGTATTGGTCTAAGTTTGGTTTATAGTCCAAAAGACACCAAACCTACTGCATTTGGACCATGCAAATCCAGCAAGTTTTAGAGCCCATTTGGACATAAGAAATTTTTCCCTTTTTTCCAAAAACAATTCACTTTTTTTCGAAATCAACGTTTGTTCATAAAATTTTCAATTTTCACTTGAAGATGCATTTTCGAAATTTTTGAAATTTTGAAAAACTTGTTTTTCAAAATTTTCACTCAAATCACTCACAAAACTTCAAAAACAACCCAAAATTATATTCATGTCCAAACACAACTCTAAATTTCAAATACCATTTTCCCTTGAAAAAAATTTTCCCTATTTTAGAATTTTACAATTCTTATGTCCAAATACCCACTTACTCTTCTATCCATTACTCTTTTATTTGTACAACAAAAAAATTGAAATAGTGGGGGACTGTGGTAGTATTTCAATATTGTTGTGGACAAGTGGCTACATAAATGGTAAGTGGCTTGATCTCCTAATGCTATGGCCAAATGTGTAGAGCACCTACCAAATGTCTCTTTGCATGGAAAGTTTTTGACAAGTAGACGAACACGTGTCACTTTCTTATACAATACTTACAATTATAAATACCCACTTCCTATACCATCCGAAAACGCACCAAAAATATTTTGTTCTCTAATGATTGCTAATGATTAGTAATCATCACTACAAGCCTTTTCATTTTCAATTACGGCCTAGCCTTTTGTGTAATCCAATTTCTTTTATAATCTTTGTTTATTTCCTCAGTCCAAACTTGCTGGTATTATTTAATTTTGTTGATTCCTGTATCCTCTAAATAAATAGAGGTAGGCTTGTTTAATCCTGGAAAAACATGTCACATTGCTGAAATAGTTTCTTAGGACAGTATCCAGCACCACTCAAGCCAATCCGTGTATCTATATCTACTCACAAATATTATTGCAGTATTATTGTTATTTTCCCGTGTTATTTCCCTACAAGAGTAATAGTTGTTGTTTGTAATTGTAAGCTTATTAAATATATGCACCTGTATATCCGTAAGACCTTTAGTCGGATCCACGCCAAAGAATTCAAGAACCTGTAAATGGAATTGCAGCATTGTTATAAAAATTGGGTCTTGAGAGAATCCAGTTTAAGCAGAAATGGTACAATTGAGAATACCTCAGAGACAGATCGGGCGTAAGCGTCCTCCATTGAAGGAGGTGAGCTTCTAGGGCTGGTATTTCTATAATTTGAAGTGAACAGTGTTCTTGTCTCTCTCTCTCTCTCTCAGTACAATATAGGACTTACGGAGGTGATCTTGTGCACCTGTAGTCTTGTCTGATGAGATCTGACAAAGCGACTGGTTTCTTTTGCCAGGCAAAAAACGTTATAATTAAGGAAGTTTTTAGTCACCAATTATGGCGTTGGCCTGTATTAGGGTTTAGATAGGAAAAATGGTGTGTTTGGATTGTACCAAAGCCGGATAAAACTTATGGATACTCTTAAAGTTTTTAGTATTTAACTCATTATATTTTCAAAGTTATGGGTTCATATTTATTATTTTTATAATTTTAATAAATTTTTACATATAAACTTTTACTCTGTGTCAAAAGTTATGAGTTCAGTTGATCACGTCGGTGATACACTACATCCGCCCCTGGATTGGACCTCGGTATCTGTCAATTGAGAATGGCGTGAGCATTTCATGGTTGGTGAGTATATTTTTCTAAAACAATTGTTTTGTATAGTGATTTTGTTTGGCGGTTTTCGCGTTTGATAAAGTTTGAGAGAATTGCTTGAGTTTCATGGACGGTCTATATTCTGTATACAATAAATGGAGAGGTAAAATCACCATATTAAGCTAAATGGTACAGTCATATCTCTCTATAACAACATACTTATATAACATACATTCACTATAAAAGCCAAATTTTCCTCAGAACAGATTTTTTAAGTTATATTTTAACTCTCTATTATAACTTTTTACATATAATGGCAACAGTTATATTTATACCAAACGCTTTTTGTAAAATTAGTCATCTATAACAGCCATATAGAATCTTTAAGATTACTAATAATAATTCTAAAAATAAGCACAAACCTTTTCCATTAAACAAAGTTTTTATCTTTCATTAGATATAAGATTTGAAGATTTACACATTATCTCTTTTTCATTGGACAAATTTCAAGAAATATTTAGATAAAAACTTTAATTGTTAAGCTCTTAGATTATCTTCAAGGAATAACTATTTGATACTTTTTTAATCTTCAATAATTCAAGTGTTATATCATTATATCGCTAGTAAGATAATGAAATCTACGAAACAAGCTATAATTATAAAGTTCTTCCATCAATCTTGAAAAAAATTATTTTTTAGGTAGCTTTAAAATGTCTGCCTTAGAGTTTAAATCTTTATACTTTTAGTTATAAATTTATTAATAATGTATTAGCTTTCTTCAATATTTAACTAGTGAAATATGCATATCTTTTGAGATTATAATTTTGAATAATTTTCTTATCTTTTATATGTAACATTAAAAAAAGAAAAAATAATTAATTTTGGATAATTTTTATCTATAATAGCAAAAAAATATTTAAACGTCAAATGATGTTATAGGTGTATAATAACCATTCACTATAAAAGTCAAAAAATATAAGAACAAACGAGGTTGTTATAGAGAGGGTTGACTGTATAACCATATTAAGTGGTATATAACAAATGTAGATTTTTAGGATAAAGTTCCAACAACGTTGGAGTTTAAACTTATTTTAAAATAAAAAACGTAAAAAAAAAACTACCAATCCAAATTGGAGAATACTTTCTTCCCAATATGGCATATATATATATAAAGATGACAAGTGTAGAGTTTTAGGAAAAAATTATTTTCTCTAGCATCCATTTGCTCGCGAAAAAATAAGAATTTTTTCCTGATTTAAACATATGTTTTTTATTATTTTTTTCAATAAAATATGTCAATAATTATCCAATTTCTCCACAATTTGTGCCAAACGGTTCAGCCACCATAAGGTCATAATCCATCTTCTTCTTCCTTGTGGGTTTTCTTCTTGGATGTAATCTTTATTGGATGTAATGTAACTTAAAATATTTTTGGCATCTCAATTTATGTATTGCAGTTTCACCATATATTGTTATATCTGTGCATTATAGTTGATAATTAATATGTTACAAAAGTTGTGGTTCTAACATTTATTATTTTTGCTTGTTTGTACTATGTGTGTATATGTATTTGCTCATATTTTCATCGCTCTATTATGAATAATCAAATAGAATATAACATGTTTCTTTATAGAAGCATGTTTTATTTTCTTTATTTGTTATATATAGTTGTGACATCACGAAAATGGTCCATGGTGATGTAAAATCAACTTGAATTCCTTTGTCAAAAAGTTAGAATTGTTAAGGTATTGTTTGTTGAGCTAAGCGTGAAGTTGTTCCTCTCTTTATCTGAGAAATATAGCCTTAGCATGTTGACGATCAATTTTGACCCTATCCTTTATAAATTAAGGTATTTACACTTATTAATCAGCAATAAACATAGTAAAATATTTTTAAATCAGTAATACCTAATTTCTAAAATATAAATGCTTATCGCACTATGCCCAAGGACCGTAATAATGTGTGGGGTAAGTCTAAGGCTAGCCTTAAATCAAGGCTCAGGAGACTCAGCTGTAAGGCTAAGCCCAACATTGGCCCAGACAATCAAACAGGACAGGCCTATGCAGGAGAATCAGGAAGGCCCACCAGTGAAAGGGAAGGCCAAATGCGTGAAGGGGAAGTCTCCCACACAACCCAAATTGTTAATGAATTTCATCATCTGGAATGCTAGGGGGAGCTAACAATGGTGAGTTTAGGAGGCATCGTGCTGAGATGGTCAAGCTGCACAAACCTGCAATGATTGTCCTGCTGGAAACTAGGATGACTGAGCATAAGCACCTGAGCCAAGAATTGGGCTTCTCAGGCCAAATCCAGAACCCAACTGTGGGTCTGTCAGGAGGTATTGTCATCATGTGGAAGGATGACCTCCTGAAGATTGATGAGGCTTTCTACCACCCCTCAAGGCATCAATGTTATGGTTAAGGTAACACCATCTTCTAACCCTTGGATTTTTACTGCTGTTTATGCTAGTAATACTTATGTAAATAGGAGAAACCTTTGGCAGCAACTTAGAACTATTCCTGAGAATATAAGGGGAGTTTGCTAGTAGGCAGGGACTTAAATGAAGTCCTAAGAGCAAGAGACAAGCAAGGGGGAATTGCATCTCTTCTCCAAGAGCCAATTTATTCTGACAGTGCATCAACCACTGTAAACTTATTAATCTAGGCTTCAAGGGCAGCAAGTATGCATGGACTAACATGAGGTACAGGAATAGAAGCCAACTAATCCTAGATAGACAGATAAATACTTTGGTAATGATCATTGGATCCAGGAATACCCCTCTAGTACAATTAGCCACCTCCCTAGAACTCATTCTGATCATTGCCCCATACTAGTCAACATGTGGTACAAACCAAGCAATACATTAACAAAACCTTTTAGGATTAGTGAAATCAAGCACCTTTAATGACATCACAACACAATAAAGACTATTTTCTTCACTTAGGCTAATTTTTAAGGTTAGGTTTAGGTATTTTATTCACCCCTCTCCTTAGGTTGAGTCATTTTTAGGACATAACAAGCGTAGATGTTGAAGGAAAACATGCTAAACTTGAAGTTGGAAGTAAGTTTGAGGTGTTGTGCATATGGGACTGTTTTAGAAGGTTTTTGAGCTAGCTTAATCTGGTTCTTGATGTAGTAGCTGGATGTGTTGTTGTTGATGTTGTTCTTGTTGTTTTGGGGTGTTGGTTTGAATTGGAAGGAAATGATATAGGTGATGTCCAATTTTATGAAATCGTAGGTATGTTGTTGTTGATTGTTGGACTGTTTGGGAGGTATAATATGATTATTGTTGATGTTGTTTGGGCTGTTTAGTGATTTTTGTAACTTGTGGGAAGTCATATAAATAGGGGAGATGCTGCACGTTTTATCATAAAATAGGTTGTGGTCGATATGTAATAGTTACGATGCTTACACGACAACGATTGTATCATTTCTCTTATTGTAGACTAAGGAGCCGTGGCATTTGCATAACTTGAGGTTGGGCAGCATATAGAAGGTATGTGAGGCTATCCCTTTCTTTCTTTTGCACGACTCCGGTTGTGCGTAACATAAGCGAATGAGCTTCCAAAGATACTCCACTCTAAGATGCTAGCAGTACATACATTGTTTTCCCTTCTTATGGAATGATTGATGTTGATGTTGCTTCTCTTATTCTTATGTTATCAAATATTGTTGGTATTTCCTGATTCTTATAAGATTCGTGATTTCGAGTTAGCTCTAATAACTTATATGGAGGTTACCGACCTTACGTCACTCCGAAAGGTTCAGAATATGATTTCATGAGTCCAGCATGCAATATATATATATTCGAGTTAGCTCTAATAGGTGCATATATATATATAATGATTTCATGAGTCCAACATGCAATATATATATTCGAGTTAGCTCTAATAGGTGCATATATATATATGCACCTATTTTACTTTACCAAATCGCGATATAGTCGGCCATCTACGTCACCTATTGTACAACTACTAATCAGTTAGGTTTTACCGAGCTCCACATGGTCGGGTACGATTCTACCGAGCCTTATGACGGGTCCTATTTATAGCTCTATTTAGGGAGACAAGATCCCTAAATCAAGTTCCTCTTGAATGATAATAAAACTATCATCGATGGCTGCAAAATGGTTGGCTTTAAATGCAAATATTCTTTCTGACGGCTGCTCATTGAATGCTATCCAATATCAACTCTTCAAATCTTTGCTATCGGTTACCCTATCTCCGGAATTCACCCAACACCGGTCACATGCTCGCATCCCCAACTACTTGCTGACTCACATCTTCCCTATCTTTAGTTCCAAGTGTCACTTCCTCATTTGTCCAACTGTCACTAATCAATTTTACTGCATACAGTTATCGGGGTTGGATTTGAATTAATAGACTACCCAATGCTAATACCAGGGAAGGAAAAAAAAGGGATCTTTACGCAAATAGCCGGCCATATTCATTATTATTTTTTTTTTAGCCATATACATAGATTATATACAATCCAAGGCCAGTCAGTCAATCCAAGGCCCTCACTGCCGCAATTGGAAGCCTTAAATAACGCCGACTTGATTTCCCAAGTGCTCCTCCAATACCATAACCCATTTCACGCAATGGAATCCTCTCTTCAGCTCCACGACATTTCTCTCACCCCTTTCCTTGTCCATCAAGCCCTCCTCTGCCTAAAACACTCTTCAAAAATTGCCCTCTCATTCTTCCAGTATTCCCAGTCCCATCCTAGTTTCTCCCTCGACTCCATCACTTTCAATCTCCTCATCAACATTCTTTGCAAAGTCCAC